TCGTCCGAGAATGCTACTGTTTTATACGCTTCCAATAAGCGTGATCAAACCAGCTGCTGAAGTGAGAAAACCAGGTGTGAGTATGAGGCTCCTGTCGGCGAAAGAAATCGAAAATACATCCACAAATCATTCTTAAATATAGACAAATGTCCCTCAGAAAATCAAATCACTGATAACGTATTTGTTTTCACAGAAAGTTCAGTCAAATCTTGACCAGTAGCGTACGCCAGTCAGAAACCTAAACCTATCATTTGGCCTGATTCTGATTGGCTCAGAATATCAGTCAATAATCTTAGACATTCTGAAAATCATTTGTCTAACACATATGAAATTTTCTGTAAACTCAAGGTAGTTGAATCTGATCCAGGAATAAGATATAATAAGCGAAATAAACGAAAAAAATATTTGAACTACATATTTATATTTACATAATCTAGTATTAAGATACATTATTCGTCTATAGATGGCATGAATTCTGTACACTCTGTGCTTGGAACATTTTCTTGTGTGTTAGGTATCCATGTGGCGAAAGTTATATAACCTTTATGACCCGGTATTTTAGGCTAAAAAGTGTAAAAGAAATATTCATTAACAATGAATTATCATAGAATTATGAGCATTAGAACAAATAATGTCGGAACTAGTAAGAACTAGGGAACTATGTGCACGATTTTTATAAAAAGTAATGAGTAGTATGTAATTATGAATATCCTTACTCTCTCTCTCTCTCTCTCTCTCTATATATATATATATATATATATATATATATATATATATATATATATATATATCGTGAACAGACCTAATGATACTAGTGAATTACAACTAATTGAACACTAAGAGTCAATAATTACACATAATATATACTACAGTCAATGGTTGGAAACTATAGTTTAAAAGTAGTTAACCGATTCCGCATCCAAACACAAGTTTTTACATTGAAAAGAAAGCTATACCATTGTGAGCAAAATACCTAACATATTGCTACGTTTGAAGAGATTGCGATATCACCTAAAACCGGAAAACGGAACGGAAGTCAACAACACAACGATAGAATAAGCCAAACAATTCCACTACGCCCCAGCCCTGCTAACTAGAGGAGGGGGAAGACCAGATTCAGCAGAGGAAAATGTATATTACGCGAGCAGTCGGAAGCACGAACGAACGAGCACACAACTCATACGTATATACAGAAAGAAAATGCCCTTAGAAAACTTCCTAAAGTAGCCTACTGAAAGAGGAAACAAAACAATGACATTAAGGTCCCTTCAAGTGGAAAATACAATCTGAAGCCAAAAATGGGCGCTTTTGGCAAGAAAATGGGAAATTCAAATTTTCAAAATAATATTAAAAAAGCAAGACGTTTAGAGAATAATTTCTGGAGATCTAGCATCCCTAACACTTCGCCTTTTTAACAGAGTTTGTTCTTGGGGCTCACTTGCCTCTTGACCGTTTTTGTTTCTGTCGTCGAAGTGACTACCTTTTGGAATGTAGATCGATTTGTTGTCGTACTTCTTGCGTAGAGGCTGCAAGAAGGTTGAAAGTATTTGACAGGACTTCGAGCGGAGATCTGGAGCTAACCGTTCACGTAGTTGATTCCGGTGTCAATTCCACCTGTTTCTTCCACCTCTACTTCATACATGACTTAACATAGCTTTCTGATCATACGTGATGCAGTCCAAGAGTTGTGGTTTGATCGGTAGTCTCGAGCGAACACCGAACATGCAACCTTGTATGTTGGCAGCTTCCGGGGCTTAGTCCATGGTGGTGGTCTTCAGAAGCATCGGGCTGTGGACCGTCCTCAGTCTTCTTCCCATGAGGATCTTTGCTGTGGACTTCTGCTCTGGTAACATATCGTTTGGTGTCGTTCGATAAACAAACGAGAAGTTCTATAGTAATTCGACTGGCATCCCCTTCCCTTTTGACTCAGGTAAAGCCCTCTTAAACGTGTCCAAAAACCTTTCTCCTTGGTCATTTGACTGTTGATGGCAAGGCAAAGAGAGGAAATGTTTGATGGTTAGACGTCGACAGAGTTCTTGGAACTGGAGTGAAGTGAACTGCGAACCGTTATTTGATACAATTACACCAGACAATCCGTTCCCAGGGATCACTGTCAAGAGCTGTAGTGTTTTGGTCGTCGTTAGTGACATGATGGGGAGGATTTCTGGCCATTTCGGAAACAAACCAACTATAAATATATAAGTACTTCTATTAATTGGGACGGCGAAGTCGATATGTATCCTGATCCAGAGATATTCAGACTGTGGCTATGAAACCGGCAATACTTTAGTGTTAAATTTCGCCGCTTCGTGACACTGAGTGCATCTCCCTACCAATTCCGTGATGGCCTGGTCCATGAGTAGCCAATATGCAAAACTTCAAGCTATAGACTACATTCGTTTTACTTCGGGGTGACCAATATGAAACTGCTTCAACACCTTTGATCGTGTTTATTTGTTTGAACACATAAATATTGTTTCAAGGAGGCACCAGATACATATGCGCCACACAAATCTCATTTGATTTTTGTGTGGGCTGTGATACTTCTCGGGCGCGCAAACCGAAGCAGGTGGTTTTCTTAGGGGACCACCGCATACGGAAGACTCGACCTAAAGGTCTGATACACAAGGTAGTGGAGCAACTTTATGTCCCATGGTAGCAGGTGACCGATAATTGGTTCATAAATCATTCGTTTCCTCAGGATTCTGGAGCCCATGTGCACCATTGGTTTGGAATCAGGGTTTTCCAACTCCCCTAGGTGGATCCTCCATAAATACCAGCCCTTGCCCCCAAATGCCCTGGTACGGCCGAGAGTGGGGAGAGTCTGCTCTCCCTCTCGAAATGCTCTCATATGGCATCTCTCAAATGTCTTGACATTTGTATTGAAAATTCTGATCTTGGTGTTGTTTGACAGTTGTTCCAGATGCTCTTCAGTTGTAAATGTGTTGCTCTTGCTTTGCCGATTCGCGACTTCACATCTGCATCAGATCCACCGTGTTCATCAATGATGCTACCCAGATATGTAAAGGTTTTCACATCCTCCAGAGCTTCTCAATCAAGAGTGATTTGATTAGTGCATGCTGTATTGTATCGGAGAATCTTGCTTTTCCCTTTGTATATTGAGATCTACTGCTACTGAGGCTGCTGCTACACTAGTCGTCTTCTCCTGCACTTGTTGTTGCATGTACGATTAGAGAGCCAGATCATCTGCGAAGTCTAAATCGTCCAGCTGCATCCTACCTGTCCATTGTATCCCGTGCTTCCCTTCAGATGTTGACGTCTTCATGATCCAGTCGATCACCAGGAGGAGAAAGGGTGAGGTAAGCAACCTGGCCTAACACCGGTCTTTACCTCGAATGAGTCAGTGAGTTGTCCTCCATGAACGATTTGGCAGTTTAATCCATCATAGAAGTTCCGAATGATGTTGACTATCTTCTTAGGCACGCCGTAGTGTCGAAGAAGACTCCATAATGTTGTCCTGTACACGCTATCAAATGCTTTCTCGTAGTCAATGAAGTTGATGTGGAGTGATGAATTCCATTCAATTGATTGTTCCGCAATGATCCATAGAGTTGCTATTTGGTCTGTACACGACCAATCCTTACGAAATCCAGCCTGTTGGTCTCGAAGTTGGGAGTCTACGGAATCCTTCATTCTGTTTAACAATACCCTGTTAAAGACTTTTCCTGGTATTGAGAGAAGAGTGATGCCCTTGTAGTTATCACACTTGCAGAGATCACCTTTCTTTGGCATTGTGATCAGAAGTCCTTCTTTCCAGTCTGTTGGTACTTGTTCTTCATCCCGAATCTTACTGGAGAGAATGTGGATTATCTTTGCAGTTGCTGCTACATCTGCCTCCAGTGCCTCTGCCGGAATGTTGTCTGGTTCTGATGCTTTGCCGCTCTTGATTTGTCTGATGGCCATGATGATCTCTTCAATTGTTGGTGGGCAGACATCGATTGGGAGGTCCGTGGGTGCTGCTTCGATGTCGGGTGGGTTCAGTGGAGTTGGTCGATTCAAGAGTTCCTTAAAGTGTTCTACTCATCTATTTCGTTGTTCATCAATGTTAGTGATTACCTTGCCTTCCTTGCTTTTTACTGGTCGTTCTGATTTACTGTAATTTCCAGCGAGTTTCTTTGTTGTATCATACAGATGTCTCATGTTTCATTCTGTTGCAGCCTTTTCTGCCATCATCGCTAAATCTTCCACATATTTACGTTTGTCGGCTCTGATGCTCCTCTTCACTTGCTTGTTTACTTCTGTGTATTCGGCTTGTGACTTGGCTTTTTCTGCTCTTGTTCGGCTGGTTTTGATTGCTGCCTTCTTGTTCCTCTTTTTTTGAATCTCATCCCGTGTATTGATAGTGATCCATTCCTTGTGGTGATTTTTGTTGCCCAGAACCTCCTGACATGTTGAAGTGATTGCCTCTTTTATCCATTTCCAGTTGTTCTCCATTGAAAAGAACCTATTGTTGAGGGTTATCTTGAATTTGTTGAGTATGTCAGTATCCTCAAGAAAAGCCGTATTAAATTCTTGTGATATCCGCCCCGTTGTCCAGTGCTTCTTAAGTTTTAATTTCATCTTGGCGACCAGCAAGTGATGATCTGAGGCTATATCAGCTCCTCTCCTGGTTCTTACATTCTCCATCGTCCTCCTAAACTTTTTGTTGATGAAGATATGGTCGATTTGGTTCTGTGTACTGTGGTCCGGTAAAGTCCATGTGGTTTTGTGAATGCGTTTGTGTGGGAATATAGTGCCGCCGATGACCAGTTTATTGAAGGCACATAGGTTTACAAATCTCTCACCATTTTCGTTTCTTTCTCCCAGTCCACGTCGTCCCATGACGTCTTCGTATCCAGTGTTGTCCATTCCAACCTTAGCATTTAAATCTCCCATCTGAATGGTCAGGTCCTTTGTTGGGCACTTCCCGACAATTGACTGCAGCCTATCGTAGAATTGATCTTTAATGTTTTCATTGTAGGCGTTGGTAGGCGCATAGCATTGGATGACGTTCATTGTAATGCTCTTTCTCTTTGTTTTGACGAAGGCTTTGATGATCCTTGGTCCATGAGATTCCCATCCTATAAGTGCATTTTGTGCTTGTTTGGACATCATCAATGCAACTCCTAGTGTATGTGGGGCATTATCTTCTTCATGACCAGAGTATAACAGCTCTCTTGAAGCTAGTTGTTGTTTTCCAACCTGCGTCCAATGTGTTTCACTGATCCCAAGCACCTCTAGGTTGTATTTCCTCATTTCTGCAGCAATTTGAAAGACTCTCCTGGTTTCCCACATTGTCCGGAAGTTCGATGAAAAATTGTTGCTTTCGTTGTTAGGAGCATCGGCCTCATGACTTCCGAAGAATCTCGGCTTTCATCATCAGGTATCATAATTATTCATTCAACTCCTAGGGCAGAGTTTAAATGTTTTGAATAATTTTTTCTGGTTAATGTTTTCTTAGCGAGTTAGTTTTCTACGGGATGAGGTCACTAACCCCATTCCCAACCCTCCTCCTTTATCAGGGCTTGGGACCGGCAGTAGCTCCCGGAGGGGTTACAAGCAGTTTGTATATAAGTACACTAAATTAATGAGATACTGTAGCTCAGTAATTACGCAGAGACTTGTCAAGACTACAGATATTGTTTGATCCCCCAAAAAGTAAATGGGCTGGGGCTCGAATCAGGGGAGAAATTCACTGTATCACGTCAAGCTACATTGTTAATATTATCATGTCAATGAACTTGAATGCCTACTTTCCATGAGGGTTTGTACGAAGTTTGACCAGGTTATTGAGCCAACTACATTGGCTTATGAGGAACCTAACCGTGTTCAGGTTGTAACTCATTTACAAAGTACAGATACCTGCAGTTGGCTTCAACTGACACTCGTTCGACGACTGGTGGCATTACCCAGTGACCTATGTACAAGATGGTGAAAAGTGTTTTGATTCAACGGAGTGTTACATTTCCTAATCTCAAACTGATTTGTTTCACAGCAACAGCAAGACTGAAATAAAATTATACTGAAATTTTATAAATTCACCTTGAAAAAATTTGGTCTCAAAGTACTAAGTCATGCTTTTTATTTAAAGACATTCCAGTGGTAAACAGACACTCTAGTAATGAAATACAACTTAATAAAACGTAAAACACCTCAACTTACTTGTAGAATTGGTTCCCAAGTAAAGTCATTTTCAACTTTTGTAGAACCCTCCACACCTTTAAGTTGTTTAACATTGATCGATCTACTTAGCTCTGAATTTGGATGAGTGCGTTTATAATGAAGATTCTCTATTTCGGATGTTTTAGGAGGAGGAAGCAGATGTTTATTGAATTTCGAAACAGAATTCACATATTCATTGAAACCACTCTGAAGCCAAATGGAAGCACTTAGTTGCCCTATAAATAATCACGAGGAGTAGTTAGGTGATAATTAGTTTAGCAGAAAAATTGAAATCGCCATGGAGCAATAAATATTACGTTAAAACAAGATTTCTAATATCTGGCATTACGTCCAAGAGTAATTGATGACAGGATTTCTAGACTTAATTCGTACAAAAAAGACTGGTAGTTCGAAAGATTATAAGTCAAATTAAAGTGAGAGATAAAAGATTTTATCTTAATATGATGTTAGATCTACACAGATGCTTTCCATTCAAAGTATGATAAAAATTTGATCACAAAGGAAAACGTCACAATTAAATTACTAAGAAACTTCAGTTATCACAAGTTATTGAGATCATGGACCGATCAATGTTAGACCATCAATGAAAAACTGGAAGCACTGGATGACCGTTCCCTGGCCGTAGCAGCTACCTTGATGTGGTGGTCGGGCTTGTCTATTGTAACGAGTAGACGAGTGGTTGACCTCTAGACCACTGAGTCAGCATCTAATAGTGTTAATGTCTAACTTCAATCAATCCACGACATTACGCGATCATCTTCCATTGTTTTCGGTGGGTAACTGTCTCATACTTGGCACGGTCGAACTCCAGTGATCATGGCTTCCCACTAGGACTCCAAGAATTCCCTCTCGAGGCTAGTTACTAACGAGCAAATGGTGGCCATGATCTCAATGGAAACTCAACAATCTCAACGACCCCTTTACTAGTAATTATCTTAATTTAACTTGTAGAGCAGAATGTCGACAAAAGCATAAGTGTTATAAACCCATGAACGCATAAGATTTTGTTTAACCCTTATCGTTCTACACAAATTAGATATGTTTGAAAAGTAGTCTTACTACTATATATATACGTTTTGACCCCTTATCATTCCACGTCATTTGTTCTATATTTACAGATGATTTTGTTGTATTTCTCTTTTTATTCTATACTACTACAAGTATTATATTTTTTATCCTTAGATTATACGTGCAGGTGACATCCTGATGCAAACTTTCTACTTTCACAAATGACTTTCAGGCCATTTTTAACCGCGACAAAATTCCAATAAATAACGCATGAGTATCAGTATTACAAAGAGAATACGGTAACTGATTTCACCAAGTCTTGTAAGATGTAAATTTCCTAGTGAGGATCGAGATTATGGATGCCCTAGATAGTATAATTCAAAGTTGATCACAATGGCACAGAAACATTTAAGATTTACTTTCTTTTAAATCTTGTCGATATTGTTACTTGACATCTATCTTCCTGTTGGATTTATATGCTTCATTCTCATTTTTCTATCATGTCATTCTTGTCAATGTTTCTCTACAATAATGCTATGCAGTATGAAATTTTAAGATGATGCACTTTCTACAGTGAATTTTATCTGACAAACTATTTTTAGGGTCCAAAACTGAGGATATTCATAGTACGAGCAGTCTATTCAGCTTGTTTAAATTATTACGGTTTTTGTGACATTTGAAAGCGTAAAAATATCAATTAATAAAATCCTTCTCCACCTTTAATAAGTCAAGAAAAATACTAGTGATTCGCAATCTCAATATCATAGAAAACAGGTCACAATAGTGATCTTACATCCAAAGTGATTCATTTGTTTTCTTGGCCAAATTATCTAAATGAGTCTAATGGTTACAGATTTTTGACAATCGGTGATTTGTATTAAGCTGAGGGGATTGAATCTATGAACTCGACATGTTTCTTAAATAATGATGGGATCGTAAAGTTATGTTGGAATTCAGAAGTTCTGTCTAATTTTCGTCTGCGAACATTTCTGTTAACCGCACAAAAAGTTCACAAACCCATTAGTTAATACTTCGAACAGCAAACCGCTAAGAAGTCAATCCAAACAAACGTTTTATATACCGTCTGTTATTTTTATGCAGATAATAGAAGTGATGAGTTTGATTAAGAGATGTGTTTTTATTACGTTATCTTTGCTTTAGTTAAATGTTGACAATACACTGTATTTCTGAGGAACGTGTGAAGAATTTTATATCCTGATAATATAGCCTCTGCCAGGGAAGTCCTACTCACTGCCTTCTCGTGGCATGGGTGTTTTTTACGAAATTGAGATAACGAAAAGCAATTGTCCGGCGCTTTAACCGGGTTGGTGGACATGGAAAGTTCCCCTAGGGGAGTTGGAAAACCCTGATTCCAAACCAGTGGTGCACATGGGCTCCAGCATCCTGAAGGAACAAATGGCGTATGAACCAATTATTGGTCACCGGCTACCATGGGACTGCATCTCCCAACAATGCTCCACTGCCTTGTGGACTAGACCTTCAGGTCAAAGGCTCGGGGTGTGGCTCCCTAAGAAAACCACCTACTTCAGTCTGGCCACCTGGGCAGTATCACAGCCCTCACACAAAGCAAATGAGATTTGTGAGGCGCATATTTATCTGATGTTTCCTTGTATCAATATTTATGTGTTTAAATAAATAAATAACTAATAAGCTTATGTAAAAATAATTACCCATGTTTGGAACATTCAACGTTGTTCGTGACACATCATATTCCCTTTCCAGACATTCGACTGTGCTTATATGTCTAAAACCTGATTCTAGTAAGGCTGCACAGGATCTCTGAACTTGTTCAATGCAAGGTGAGAATAAACACACACGACCAACTAAAAAATACAATAGATGTAGAAAACTGAACTACTCCCTTAATATGGTTGGCTACAATCAAGCTAAGATTGAGATACTATTAAAAATGACATAAAATTAGTCATAAATCAAATGGAGGAATCCCAATTCACTGTTAAAATAAAGTACAATATTAATCAAAGTGTGTATTTATTAAGCAGAAAAGACTATCCTTGCATTTTGGTTTCCATCTTGATTTCAGTTTGTTGGTGCTTATATTTTATCGTACATAATAAGTCACGACGATTTAATTTCTGACCAATAAAAAGGCGTTTTACGATGTACTGCAGGTGAACACCTTAAAAAATGTTGCCATACATATAGAAAATGGATTTTCAGTCATTTTTAAAAATGTCCTCTAGTTATCATTTTTGCTGATTATATGCTGACACACTGTTTGTTGCAACTTTAAAGTTCATTGACTCAATCAAGCTTCACTAAACTGATCACCGGAGATGAGACAAGTGTATACTAGATATACAAAATCCATTCTTCTGGATTTTAAAGAACACATAAAACGATATGCAAAAGTAACATAGAGATGGGTTACACGGTTTTTGCCTCGTTTCTTTCTGAACATTATAAACTATCGTTAGTCATACATAAACAATTTTGGGAACCAAGAATAATTTTTATGACTATTGCTTCTGTTGCCCCATTAAATTAGCCTTCGGTTGATTTCATTTTCATTATGGCTACACATAAGAAGCAACTGATCGACGATTCAGTAACCCGCAATTTATGGGTCATGGAAGTATAAACAGGATATTAAAGGCAACTGAATTTATCCCCTAATCAGCTTCAAAACCTACATTTCGTCACTGAAACTGTGATGAAGTGGTTAAAAGTTAAATAACTAAGCTACTGAGTCATAGCTACTCATGAAAAAAGGGACAAAATATTTAAACTTGTTTCGTACACTATTTTCAGATACTCGATAAAAAATTACAAACTTTACTTGAATCAGGACGAAGGATAGATCCAAGATGCGGAATAACTACCCATGGCCTAGGCAGATCCAGGACAACAGCATCTACACCATTTGGATTTAGTTCACTCCCGATTGGTGGAAAATAATCACTACAAACATCACGCATATTAACCTTCACAACATCCCCAAGTGAATGTGACTAAATAAATCATGGGATCAAATAGAAAATCATATGGAACTGAGTATTCTTGGAAAAACAATATCGTGATTTTATTCTTGTAAAACCAGAAGCATGGAAAAACGTATGCATCGAAGACAGAAATTTATGGATACGCTAATTCCGTGATTTTATCAATAATGACCTACACCCCAAACTGTTTTCGAAATTTTACTTATTGTAATGAATCACTATTTACTCTAAATACTCACAACTAGATAGTACATTGTAGAACATGATGTGATATGAAAGAAAAATGTATGGTGGTCCATATGTTATGACTGAATCACCAATTGTTATATCGGGATCGCTTATCGATTACACTTGTAAAACGAGGGACTACTGCAATTCTCACGACGCGAAAGTATACAAAGACTGGTACAAATGAAGGCTTATTAACACCAAAACACGACGATGACCCTAGTCGAAAACACGCCCATTTATATATTGATAATACATCTATTTAGATTATTAATAAGGATGAAATCACATATATGGAAAATAATTATAAATCATATGCTGAGTGTCATGCTGAACATAGTTCATGTTAATCTAATGCAAGAATATCGTATCTTGAACAAAAATCACAATGAGTAAAAGAATGTGATTTTGCTTTTTAATCCTAGCATATCAGTAAATAAGACTCAACTATGTTATGCCATACAAATTATTCTACAATAAAATGTGTAGTATCTACAGCAATGCAATTAATGAATAAATCAGTTCTAATAGGTATTACCTAAAAATTTCCAGTTTCTGAAATATTCTATCATAATGACCTGATAATAGACTTAACGTTTTCTATGCAATCAAGAGTAACGTTTAACTCAACAGACTCCTGGACAAGTATAGATATACACAATTTCCACCTTATCAACGACTAAACGAAATATACAAATCTACTTAAACTTGTATAAGCAGAAAACAAAACTCACATCGAACTCCTCAGACGCCAACTTAACACGTTCACTATGAAAATCGAACGTATAAACGTGACCATGGGGTAATACAGATTGAGCTAAGAAATGAGTCAATGATCCGCTGCCTGTCCCAGCTTCGAACACCCATTTCCCAGGAACCAAATCTAATCCCCCGACAATTAAACTTGCGTCACATGGATAAATTATTTGAGTCCGGTGGGGAAGTGTTTCTGACCATAGGGCTGGACTTAACGCTAATATATACACATATCCATGAGATGTTTGGATCTAAAAACTCAAAAATAAACCCAGTGATAATTATGAGATAGTTGTGACGACAGTGATTCTAATGTTCGAATCTAAGAAACGAACACAACAACCAATACATACAGAAAAAGAAAAGAATGAAACTATCTGCATCAGTAATCTTTATTGTTAGAAGCAAGCAAGATTGTATGAAAATTATTTGGATAAAAATCTAACAAATCAGTAAGAAATGACAGAAACTGAAATACTCTTTAAAAGGAAATATTGTCAGACTGAACGAATTATTTTTAGTCTTTACCATTTGAGAAAAACAATCAACTAGGGATCATGTCTATCCTATAACTAATGAACTATCTACCTTATAGGGAGAATCAATTCCGTTAGGAAAACCCGACGTTCAAATCACATCAGTGTGTGATATAAAATATACATTTTAATGGCGATGATTTAATTAAACCTTGACCTATTTCTGAAATATTGCAAATCACACACTAGAGCATTAGTAACGATAGACAAAAGGTAACAGTTTTGGACAACTGTGAGACTACTTCAATCAGAAAGGGGTGAGACCTAAATATAATTATCCCATGTAGTGGGGTAAGCAACACTAGTGTCTTTATCCTGAACATTTATTTAATAAATACTACTAGTAGGACTAGAAGTGATCATGGAAAAATCAGTCTATCAACATACCTTTGATCCATACTTTTTTCCAACACAATCATCATGTCTCATTGCTCCAAAACGTGTTTGCAACACACCACCCTTCTTAAGTACTGTAGTTAAATTCTTGAAACTCCCCAAATCGATTATAACACAATCTCCATACTGCGCTACATTTTTCTGAAATGCATCGGGAGACATGACGAATTTATATGCGATGAACCACTTGTTTTATATTCAGGAAACGTGTTACTGAGTTAAAAGGAGATACGGAAATGCATTAAATAATGATAGGATTACTCTGGAAAATTATATATATATATATACATACTCTGGAAGCCTTATCAATAGATGAACCAATAATTTATATGAAATACGAGCACGTTCAGACCGAAGTTCCTAGCTATCGCTTCAACTAAAGGTTCGAATGTTGCTGTGCCTGTACATAACCAGTCAAACTACTCGACAACATACACAAATATGTGAAAATGTTGTAGTTTCCGATGTGTCTAAATTAAAGATCATAAGGCATTGACATAATATTATGGATGAATTTCTTAACAATTTCTGTAGAATTTAGTAAAACATAAATCAGCCTGTTTATTTAATTCCTAAAAATACTGAAATGGAAACATGGAACTTGACAGACTCCAATAACGACTCCTGTTACTGAAAACTGCATAGAATTAAAACCACGAGAACGAGAAAGTATGAGATGAATTTGAATACAGACTTAGGTGCACACAATAGTTTACTTATCCAGTAGGTTCATTAAAATCTAATTTTTAAATACTACTACGATGGTAGTTTAGTGCGAAAACTGAAGCGCGTATTCTTCATAATCGGATTTTCAGCAAAAATCTGCTCAAATTGATTCATAATAAATGACTCAGCAAACCTACTTAAAGCTTGTCAGAAGACAGGTTAACTATGTTGCTGGGATTAAAAAAAGAGCGTCCTTACTTATTTTCTAAAGCGCTGACGCGAAAACCACTAACCACACATTGGCAACGACTCAGTGGCACCGTTCATTGTTGGAAGTCGCTGAGCACTTGAAGGTCAAACTGGCATAGGACAATTTATGCGTCGCCTCTACAATTTGTAATTTTTTCTGGAAGTGGTCAAAACTTGAAAGTGGAAGGGCGAACGTTTTGAGATGGAGTCGTGATTTGGTACTTGAGAATTAACCAGTCAAGATAATTTCGTGTCCTGTCTGGAAGAAGTACATAGGGTTCAAATGGTTCAAATGGTTGAGGACGGAATAGAAGAAGCTTTCGCTTAACGGGCTTCCGTGTCTGGTAGCAGTGGATCACCAATACCTCCAGGCAAGAACCCAGGTATATGAACGATAATAGAGGGAAAAAAAGAATTTGGTAAATCATAATAATATGTTATCCTTAGTCCTTAAGAATAAGTCAAGTTTTCTCTTAAAGGACTCCTGGGAGGTCGCTTGGACTAGCTCAGTCGGAAGCGAATTCCAGCACTCGACAACTCTAACGGAGTAGAAGTTGTGTCTGCAGTCTGTTCTGCTATGTAGGGTCTCCAATTTCTGGGTGTTACCTCTTAGGTTAGTGTTATGACTAAGCTTAAGAAGTTGTTTAAGGGGATGACCAGAAGTATTAAGGATACTATAAGTCATAAGAAGATCACCTCTAAGACGCCTATACTCTAACGGGTAAAGGTTAAGTGATTTGAGGCGCTCTTCATAAGGTTTGAATTTGAGACCCCGAACTGATTTCGTGGCTCGACGTTGTATACGTTCCAGAGTGACCTTATCCTTTTGGAGGGAGGGAGGAAATACTATGTTTCCGTACTCTAAGTGGGGACGAATAAAACTGTTGAAGATTATGTGGAAGGTTCTACCGTCAAACTGGCCAAAAATGCGCTCCAATGTTACCAGTGCAAGGTTTGCTTGAGAGGCGTTTTTGTCACAGTTCGCGTACGATTTAAGGTCGTAGGGTACCAACACTCCTAAATCTTTTTCAACTTGGGAAACTTCTAGAGGTGAGTTACCTAAGTTATAACTATAGTCTGCAACATGTCTCAGATGAACTACCTTGCACTTTGAAGTGTTGAAGGTAAGTCCGTTGTCGTCTGCCCAACTTTGAAGTCGAGTCAGATCCTCCTGAAGAACTAGTATATCATTGTGAGTACGTATCTCTCTCCAAAGTTTCACATCATCAGCAAAAAGCAATAAATCAGATGAAACTTGTTGAGGAAGATCGTTAATATAAATCAAGAAGAGAAGAGGTCCTAGTAATGAACCCTGGGGGACCTCACTAGGACATTCCATAGCCTGAGAGAGAGTGAAGTTAACCCTGACCTTAAAATGTCGGTTTTCTAGGTATGAAGTGATCCAGTCAATTAAAGGGGGTTTTATACCCAATCGTCCAAGCTTCTTGATAAGACATGCATGGTTGACCCTATCAAAAGCTTTTGAGAAGTTCAGGTAGATGACGTCAACCTTCCCCTTGCGATCAAGGATGGTTGTCCATTTATCCACCGCAGTCAGCAGGTTGGTCGTACAAGAATGACCTTTTCTGAAACCATGCTGTTGAGGCGAGAAGAACTTTGAGGATGATAAGTGTTCTAGTATGCCGTCGAATACTAGGGATTCCATAATTTTTAAAAATATGGAGAAAAGGGTCACTGGTCGGTAGCTTGAGGGTTCACTGCGTCGACCTCCTTTGAAAATTGGTGTGATGTGGGCCAGCTTCCATATTTCCGGTAGTTTGCCTCTGCTTAGCGAGTGTGCAAACATCACGCTAAGTGGTGTCGCCAGGATTGAAGCTGCTTCCCTCAATACGGCGGAATGAACCATGTCCGGACCAGGAGAAGTGTCTTTTTTTAGGTTCTGCAGTTTACGGAGCACCAAGTCAGCACTCAGGTCCACTTCGGAAAGTCCTGTACAGGTGCAGGTGAAGCTTTCGTCAGTATGGTTGATGTGGGTCAGTTGGAATGTCCGGGAGTAATGTTCAGCCAAAAGGTTAGCGGCATCACTGTCGTTGTTGGTCGGGCCATTAGGACCAAGCAGTTGGGAAACTCCAGTTTTGCCTTGTCGAAGAGAAGCTGCATAACTGAACAAGCTTTTCGGATTGGAGACGAATCTATCGATAAGCTTGGTCTGGAACTGAAGCCTGTCTTCTCTTATTGCCTTTGTGCATGTGTTCCTTATATGTTTGTATTGCCTGTACGTGCCGTTGTTATCCGTTCGTTTATATTCAGCCCAACAGTGCCTTTTGCGGCTTAGCAAACGACGAGTGCGGTTCTTGATGATTGCAGGTTGCTTGTAGCTTTTTGGGACCATTTTAGGAACTGAATGCTCAGTAGCACATAAGATCGTGTGCAGTAAAAAGTCCCAATGAGCATCCACTTCAATTTCAGGGCGAACATTCCAATAGGACTTCAGTGATTAATAATTCTTTGCACGGTCTACGCACACTGTCATAAAAGTATGTAGAAAGAACGATGACCCCGCTCGAGTATTTCTCGTCAGATATATCACTACATATTAATATAAACGCAGTGTATTAAAATCAGATGCTTGTCTACAAGATTTAGATGATGACATTGATCAACATTCTTCCGAAGAGCATTCACCACAAACTAGACAAATAAGACAACGTTGGTCATTTATATATGCTTCATTTCAAATAAAATTATTTTTCAAGTCTGTAGCGGTAAACAGATCCCCGAAGTAAGCAGTTCTGTAAGTCTCCGAAGTTTGATGCTGATCACATTAGTTTCACTGGGTACAATTAACTGAAGGTGCTCAGTCACGCATCCGTACCAGATCACGAGTGGGTATGTCGTGCTACGCATCTATTACAACCATTCGCCAGCCTATATCAAATGTTTCCCGAAATATCGGTAGATTTTCCAATATATCTTCGAACCTCTTCACTTCTGACTTTTGATTTGATTGGGTTGGGATACTATGATTATAAAGGTGTTACGTGTAAAGGCGTTGTCAAACTCCCAATAGCTGAGGCAAGTTTAAGTCTAAATATTACCACTGTCGATCTGGATTTGGGACTTGCGCAGCGAATGGTGAGCCTAATCACAATGCACAATATTCAACAACGTGCCTCGGTTTGTTTCGTTACTTTGATATTTTCAGTTCCCGTTATAGTCTACAAAGGACATTAAGCTGATCATTCTCCTGAATTCCGTGCACCTTGCCGACTAATACTCATCTTAATACACTGAGAAGCGTTTATTGATGACTGCAATTTTCCAGATTATTCGAGTAATTGCAGTAATTCATTTTGAAGGTTTAAATTATCGCCTTCAGTTTTTATCGTTCTCTACTCGAACCACAATTGATGATGAAAAAGGACCAAGAAAGTCGTTTGCATGCAGAAGAAATGACATCTGTCCCAAAAATGTACCGCGAGGCACTTTAATAGGCACAGTTTCTAAGCTATACAACTTGAATTTAACCCGTACTATTCACTGACCCTCACATGGGGAACTCTTTATCCGTATGAATAAGTTGCTTCCAGTTCCGATACCACCTAACTTAGATATGACTTATGTGGAACTTTGTTAAAAGCTTTAATGAAGTGTACATGTCTGTTAATCTTTTCGGTAGCATATGATTTTAATTCAGTTTCCCTTTAGCTCCTCATCTTTTTCTACTGTAAGCAAGAGACAAGCCCTTGAGAAATGAAGCTTCCAAACGCCGTAGTTTACGCCGGCTCTAAGGTATTAAGTCCCTTGCATTAGGGAGATTTAAATACTACATTTAACAGCCGGGATTGAATTTCTTCCATCTAATAATAATAATAATAATAATAATAACTTACTCTCAAATAACAGTTTGTTACATAAGGCATGCCAGTTTACAGGCAAGATCAAATTTTTACAGAAGCTACAGTTTTCACTGCAGGAAATTACTCAGCTGGGTCGATTTTTATAAGATATGAATGTATATGGTTTTCGTAAGAAACATGTCGTCAATATGACAGTTGGCGCATTCTATGAGATGGCGTTGCGACATGCTACTGATGGTCGAGAATAAATCCATGCGAAGTTGGGGGCTTTTAAAAGCTTCAACCCTATGTCCCTCTGGAATATCTGAAGCTTTAATAATGGTGAAAGACGAAGTCACCCGTCCCATATCTGTTTTCGGTGGTGTATCTGAAGATGACTGAAAAAAGGTGTAAGAAAAAGAAAGGGCAAGAAGCAGAGCAATGTTCATGGAGAAATAGTTGAGGTATAACTACTTAATCTATGTCTCTGTTATTAAGGTAATTATTAAATAAGAGCATTCTAATATGTTAAAGAAAATAAGTGTAAGCAAGGTATGAGTGGATAAGGAACTATATAAGTGAAGGGGGTTCAGAAAGAAGCTTGAAAGTATGGGATTATATGTAGTTGTAAAGTATAGTGCTGAAAACAGTATTCGGATACACAAATGGCTGTCTACCTTCTTTGTCGAAGCTATCTAAACCCTATTTTTGTTTTTAAATTTTATACGGTATGGAGCAGGATTCGCTTTTAGCGAATTGTCGAGTTTGCTTGTAATAGGATTACTCCGTAGGAAGTGGAACCAATTCAGCGTTCTGAACACGATTTAAAGAGGCATTTTGCAAAAATAAATGTGCATCAATACCGTTGGTTCGTAATATCCCACTAAATCATAAGGAGGCGCAATTTAACAACATATCCCGCATTACAGACACGGGTGGATTAAAGTTATTCCCCCCACCATTATGTTGGCTGGTCAGTAACGCCATCCCCCCTCCTTTTATAATGTTGGACTCTCTTACATTTGTGGTCAGTATGATTATTGCTTTAATTAAAGCCCATAGTTGGAATACAGTCTCTACTAGTTCTGTGTTATAAGCAAATCAGATGGCTACAGCACTTGTATTATGGGTTAGACACCCATTTATTATATTATACTACTATGAAGATAACTAATGGTAAAAGTTTTAAGAGACACATCAGATTATATGTAGTTAAGAGATGGTAAGGACTAATAGCGAACCAGAGGATATAAAAGAGTAGATTGTAAATTTTTCAGG